TCTCCACTGAGACATTTTAGGAATTGCTTACCCCCCCCCCCCAAGGCTTCTTTATCTAGAGTCGCCACCCCATGGGGCAGCCTGAACTCTTCGAAGTGACAGCTAATGTCACAGGACTTTTTCTTGATCTGCTCCCTGGGGCCTGCTCTTTTTCGGAAGGGTACGAGGTACACACTGGGGGCCGGAAAGGAATCAATCCCCTGCTTTTTTCTTTCTTCCTCTGTCCTCTAACCAGCCTGTGAAAACCACACCTCTCACCGTTTCCCCCCGGGTTTGTTTTTACAGAGACTGAATTCTCTCCAAGAGCTTCAACTACTTGAAATCATGTGCAATTATTTCCAGGAGCAAACCAAGGACTCTGTGCGGCAGATTATTTTCTCATCGCTTTTCAGCCCTCAAGGGAATAAAGCTGATGACAGCCGGATGAGCTTGTTGGGGAAACTGGTCTCTATGGCTGTGGCCGTGTGCCGAATCCCAGTGTTGGAGTGTGCGGCCTCCTGGCTCCAGGTACTGCTAGCCTTCCTCCTGATATTCCGAAGACAAGCTTGCTTTCAGGGCTTTCCATGGAGCAGGATTCCTGGAGAGATCTTGACACAGTCTTTACAAATGCACTGTGTCACTGGGTCATTGTTGCTGCTTGGTGACATCAGCACCCCAGTTTTGTATACAGAATGTAAAAATCCCCACTAACAGTCGATAATGGTAGATTAAGTCATTTAATGAAGAAAGGGCTTTAGAACAAGTGAAAAAACGCTTTTCTTAAGCAAAATAGGAATTTGAAAACTGCATTCAGTCTCAAAGACAGTGTTTTTCTTTTTTAAAAGATCATTGTGAGTCAGGCTAAGAGGCTCAGATCTGAGGATCATGATTGGAAGCCAGCACAGGCAGGAAAGTTCATGAACTTTTATTTCCAGTTAACTAACAAAAAGTGGTGGCTCATGTAAGGAGAGCACCAAGCAGCCTTGAGTGAAAAGGCTAAGGGACAGCACCCTGTTCCTGAGTTCAAGCCCCAGTACTGCCACACCCACACCCCATTATATGTCAACTAATGATGATGTATATCCTTTGAAGTTGGTTTTTGTTTTTGTTTTTTTGGTGTGTGTGTAACACTAGTTTTAAACTCAGGGCCTTGTCCTTGCTGAGCATGTGCTGTACCACTTGAGCCAAGTTCTCTGCCCTTTTTTGCTTTATTTAATTTTCAAATAGGGTCTTGCTTTTCTTCTAAGGCCAGCTTCATGCTGTGATCCTCCTGTTTGTCTCCCAGTAGCTGGGATTTTAGGGGTCTATTACCATGCCTAGTTTATTGGTTGAGATAGGGTCTTGCCAACTTTTTCTTCAGGCTGGCCTCCAACTTCTCTGTCTTCCCAACCAGAAGGTTGCTTTTTATACAGGTAGATCAGTAAGCATGTGGGTTGTTTTGCGCAGTTTGATGGTGACATCACATAGTTGTTGGTTTTCTTATTGAATGTATGAAAGGAAAAAGTATTTATAATAGATTTAGTTTTAGAAGGTATTTTTCAAGATGTCTTTGGTTTTACTATTTTGCTATTTAAGGGTTAAAAAACAAACACTCCACACAGTAGCTATTGATCAAAAAATGTGGCTTATCTATTCTTTAGTGAAATTAACAGAATGTACCCTGGTCAGTGTCAAACCTGCTTCTTGACCAAGTACTTGGAATTTTGTCTGTCTTTCCCTCACCCCCTCTCTCTCCTCCCCTCGGTCTCTCTTTCTCTCGGTCTCCCTCTCCCTCTTCTTTTTGTGCTGACTTGAACTCAGGACTTGGGTATAATCCCTGAGCTTTTTTTGCTCAAGGCTAGCTTTCTACCATTTGAGCCACAGCTCCACTTTCAGCCTTTTGGTGATGAGTTATAGATATATGTTTTATGGACTGCTCTGGCTGGCTTTGATTCTCAGATCTCAGTCTCCTGAGTAGCTAGGATTATAGGTGTGAGCCACTAGTATCCAGCTCTTTGTTTTTCTTACAACCTTTGTCCACAAAATTAGGCTAGCAGAATCATATGATTATGTGTAGCCCCAATCCAGTGTCTATGGATCATTTGTATTGTGTTTGACCTCAAGATTGATTACATTTCACTCCTTGGCAATATAGTGAAGCTGAGTTCAGCCTCTTCTAGTGTTATGTAATTTTAAGTTTACCTCATCTGATGGTGTTGTGCTGGCATTTTGGCAACTGAAGGCAGATGACTACCAAGAAAACCATCTTCAGTAATCCTAGCTACTCAGGAGGCTGAGATCTGAGGATTAGTTCAAAGCCAGCCTCTTATCTCCAATAAACCACCAGAAAACCAGAAGTGGTGCTGTAGCTCAAGTGGTAGAGCACTTGCTTGAGCTGAAGAGCTGAGGGACAGGCCTCAGGCCCAGAGTTCAAGCCCCATCACCACCAACAACAACAGAAAAAGCCATCTTCATAGTTTGAGTTTGGTCCTGTCATATGAGCTTTCTCTTGAGAGCAGTAGAGAGATCATGTTGTGATTGGCTTTTCTGGTCCTGTGTGAGCAGTCAACCAGCTGCATGAGCCGGCTTTCCTTGCTGTCCTCTGTAGTCCAGGGGGTGTCCTGGAGTATCATCTTGAGCAAACCTAACCCTACCATTTTTTTCCCTAAACTATTATGAATTTGTGTGTCGTAGAAGATGTGTCTCTTTAGGAACAAGGACATTTTCTTATACAACCATAATACCATCACACCTAAGAAACTTAACGGTCATGGAATACAGTTATCTATGATACAGCCTGTATTCAGACTTCCCTAATTGTCTCCATATTGCTTTTTTTCCTTTTGCAGTACATTATCTGCTAGGTAGTTGTTCTATTTGCCACTGCTGAGCACAGCCACAGCTAGTAATAGATACACAGGTGGGAAGGAATAGATGGGAGGGAGGTGACGCATGACCTGGAAGTATTATAGAAACCTCAAAGGGAGTAAGATTGGGCTGGGAAGGTGGCTCAGTGGTAGAGCGCTTGCCTTGCATGCCTGAGGCCCTGGGTTCGATTCCTCAGCACCACATAAGCAGGAAAAAAAACCCGGAAGTGGTGCTGTGGCTCAAGTGGTAGCCTTGAGCTGAAGAGCTGAGGGACAGCGCCCAGGCCCAGAGCTCAGGCCCCCCCCCCAAAAAAAAAAAAAGAAGGGAGTAGGATTGTAAGGGGAATTTGTGAGTGGTGCCAAAGCAGGCATTTTCATCATGTGAGAAACTTTATTTTTATTTTATTTGTTTACTTTTTTGTGCCAGTTCTGGGGCATAAACTCAGGGCCAAGATGCTGTGTTCCTTAGCTTTTTCACTCAAAGCTGGTGCTCCACCACTTGAGCTACAGCTTCACTTCCAGCTTTTGGTGGTTTATTGGATGTAAGAGTCTCACAGACTTTCTGCCTGAGCTGGCTTAGAGTCAGAATCCTTAGGTCTCAGTCTCCTGAGTAGCTAGGATTACAAGTGTGAGCCTGGCATTTGTACCTGTTGGGTTTCACTAGTACTCCAGTAAGGTTGCCAGATGTATCATTTCCTCACCCAAAGTCAAAGATGATCTTTCCTAAGAGTGGGCAGATTTGTGGGTCACAGCTGCTCCACTGCCTGGTAGCAAGGGTATCCTGTGTGGCACAGAATTGAAGGAACATGGCTGATCCCAGTGAGGCTCTTCGAAGGGATCTGACTGATCTCCTTCAAAGGAGGCTGTTCTGTCCTTCTCCTGTCCTGTGTGGGTCTGTCCCTTCTTCTGCCTGCAGTGACACAGGCTGTGGTTTCTCCCCAGCGGACGCCTGTGGTCTACTGTGTGAGGCTGGCCAGGGCCCTCGTGGATGACTACTGTTGCTTGGTGCCCGGCTCTGTTCACACACTGAAGCAGACGTTTAGCGCCAGCCCACGGTTCTGCTGCCAATTCATAACATCCGTCACTGCACTCTACGACCTGTCATCAGGTAAGCCAAGACAGCACTGCTGTCAGTGAAGTCCTTCCTCCACACTTCCCCCTGAAGTGTATTTCTTTTTTCTTTTGTCAGTTGTAGGACTGGAACTCTGGGCGTTGTCCCTGAACTCTTCAGCTCAAGGCTAGTGCTCTATCACTTGAGCCACAGCGCCACTTTGGATTTTCTGGTGGTTTATTGGAGATGAGAGTCTCACAGATGTTCCTGCCTGGACTGGCTTTGAACAGTGATCCTCAGATCTCAGTCTCCTGAGCAGCAAGGATTACAGGCGTGAGCCACCGGCACCCAGCTGAAGTGTATTTCTTTACTTTAGGGTCTAAAGCTAAAAATGCAAGCACTTAGACCCATACAGTTTGCTAAGTGACAACTTTCTGTAGTATTCTCCAAGTTCCAGGGGTAGAAGTGGCAAGTAGCCCCAAGACTTCGGCCTAGACAGAGTGTCTAAAGGCTTATGACCTACTTTATTTTGCAACCTATGTAACCTAGATTGGCCTGGAACTCATCCTTCTGCCTCCTCATCACAAGTGCTGGAATTTTAGGCACGTGCACCTTGCCCAGCTATGCAACTTGCCTTTTTATATTCCACTTTTTTTTTTTTTTTTTTTT